TTGGGGTCAGGGTTTGGGGTTTGGGGTGAGGGTTTGGGGTCCCAGTTCCTCAGGGTGCAGGTAATGGGGTTTGGGGGTCAGGGTTTGAGGTCTGGGGTCCAGGGTTGGGGTTTTGGGGTTCCAGGATTTGGGGGCCCAACATTTGAGGTTTGGGGTCCAGGCTTTGAGGTCCTGGGGTTTGGGGTCCTGAAGTTTTGGGGTCCAGGGTTTTTGGGGGCCCTGGGATTTGGGATCAAGGATTTTTGGATGGGATCAGGTCCCTCCCGGGGGTCCCCAAATGTCCCTTTTTTTTGGGGTCTGTGTCCCTTTTTGGGGTCCCCAAATGTCCCTTTTTTTGGGGTCTGTGTCCCTTTTTGGGGTCCCCAAATGTCCCTGTTTTGGGGTCCGTGTCCCCCCAGGAGCGGCTGGAGGTGACCGAGACGTTCAAGCAGCGGAAGCTCCGCCTGGCCCGGGAAGGGGCGGATCCCGCGCTGGTTCCTGACCCGCTGTTCGTGCGGGATGAGCCGTCCCGATCCTACATCCCGCTGGATCCGCAGCTCTGGGAGCGCCTCCGCGATGGTCACCTCCGGATTTAACCCCCCCGGGGCCGGATTGAACCCCCCGGGACCGGATTGAACCCCCCCGGGGCCGGATTGACCCCCCCCCGGGCCGGATTGAACCCCCCCGGGACCGGATTGACCCCCCCCCGGGCCGGATTGAACCCCCCCGGGACCGGATTGAACCCCCCCGGGACCGGATTGAACCCCCCGGGACCGGATTGAACCCCCCCCGGGGCGACCCCAAAACACCCAGAGCTGGGGGAGGGGGCTGTGTCTGTGCTGGGGGGTCCCAGATCCATCCTGGGGGGCCCCAAATCCATTCTGACACCCCTTGTGATCCCCACACCCATCTCAAGGGGCTCCCAAATCCATCCTGGGAGTCCCTAAATCTGTCTCTGGAGTCCCCAAATCCCTCCTGGGAGTCCCCTAATCCATCCTGGGGGTCCCCAAATCCATCTTTGGAGTCCCCAGGTCCCTCCTGGGACTCCAAAATCAACCCTGGGAGTCCCCAAATCCCTCCTGGGGGTCCCCAAATCCATCCCAAGGGTCCCCAAATCCATCCTGGGGGGGGCTCAGATCGATCTTGGGTGTCACCAAATCCATCCTGAGGGCCCCAAATCCATCCTGGGACTCCAAAATCCACCCTGGGACTCCCCAAATCCATCCTGGGACTCCCCAAATCTCTCCTTGGGGTCCCCAAATCTGTCCTGGGAGTCCCCAAATCCATCCTGGAGGTCCCCAAATCCATCCTGGGGGTCCCCAAATCCATCCTGGGGACTCCCAAATCTGTCCTGGAGGTCCCAAATCCATCCTTGGGGTCCCCAAATCCATCCTTGGGGTCCCCAAATCCATCCTGGGGTCCCCAAATCCATCCTGGGGACTCCCAAATCTGTCCTGGGACTCCCCAAATCCATCTTTGGAGTCCCCAAATCCATCCTGGAGTCCCCAAATCCATCCTTGGTGCCCCAAATCCATCCTGGGGGTCCCAAATCCCTCCTTGGGGTCCCCAAATCCATCCTGGGGGTCCCCAAATCCATCCTGGGAGTCCCCAAATCCATCCTGGGAGTCCCTAAATCTGTCTCTGGAGTCCTCAAATCCATCCCAGGGGTCCCTAAATCCATTCTGGGGGCCCCAAATCCATCCTGGGGGGTCCCCAAATCCATCCTGGGACTCCAAAATCCATCCTGGGGGGTCCCCAAATCCCCAAGTGCCTCCTGTCCCCCCCCCCCAAAAAAGTGCCTCCCCCTCCCCCACCCGGGGGGGCTTTTCCTACACAAAAAAATCCTCATTTTGGGGTCTTTTTTTTTTTTTTTTGGTGTTTTTGTGATTATTTTTTTTAGCAAATAAAACTCTTTTTGTAGCAAAAATCTTCCTTTCTTTGAAACCCCCCGGATTTTTTTGGGGGGAAGGGGGGGGGGGTCACCCCAAAATTTGGGGGGGGGGGGGGATTCCTACCTGGATTTGGGGGTTCCCCCCCCCCAAGGAAGAGGAAATTATTTGTCTCTTTATTAAATAAATATTCCAAAGGGTTGGATTTTAATTTATTTATTTAATTTTTTTCTCCAAAACCCCATCCAGGCCAGAAATTGGGGCCAAAATCCTCCAAATTGGGGCCCAAAAATCCCCCAAACCGAGGCCTGAAATCCCCAAATTTTTGCCCCGAATCCAGAAATTTGGGATGAATAAAAATTTAAAATAAAAATTTTGGGGCTGGAATCCAAAACCTGGGCCTTAAAATCTGGTAAATGGAAATTTGGGCTGAAAATCCACAGTTTCAGCCTGAAATTTAAAATGTTTGGTCCAAAATCCTGGGAATTTGGGGACTGAAATGAAGTAAAAAACAACCCAAAACGCGGGCTGAGACCCTGGAAATTCGGGATTGAAACCCCCAAATCCGGGCTGAGACCCCTGAAACCCCAAAATTGGGGATGAAACCCCTGGAAATCGGGGATGAAACCCCCAAATCTGGTCTAAAACCCCAGAAATTTGGGATGAACCCCCCAGAAACCTGACCTGAACCCCCCAAATCTGCTCTAAAACCCCAGAAATTCAGGTTGAACCCCCAAAATCTGCCCTAAAATCCCCAAATCCGAGCGGAAACCCCTGGAAATTCGGGATGAACCCCCAAAACCTGGGATAAATCCCCCCAAATCCGGGATCACACCCTGGAAATTCGGGATGAAATCCCCCAAACCTCGTCTAAAACCCCACAAATTGAGGATGAGACCCCTGGAAATCTGGGATGAAACCCCCAAAATTCGGGATAAACCCCCCAAAATTCCATCCAAACCCCCAAAATTCGATC